GAAAAAAGTGAAGGGGGTCTGAATACTTTCCGAATGCATTGTATATGTATATATAATCAACTCACTGGCATATAATAGCATGTAACTATCTTTCATACAACAAATTGACTATTTTTGTTCTAAATCTAAAAGCTTTCACTATATTGTAATTATTTTTAATTTCTATTTCAGGAAACAGATCGCAGTGTTCAGAAATCTGAGTCAGTTACCACCAGGGTATTCTATTCAGCTCATGGAGCTCTCATTATGAATGGGCTAACTACACTATCCCAGTCTTCAAACTCCATTGCAAAAAGCTTGCAGCCGCAGCTTGCTAGAAAATTAACAGAGCTAAATATCTTATCACACCGTCTTTTGAAAACATTGAACACTCCCAAACAGCCTTTGTATAGGATGAAGGTAGGCAAATTAAGCTCTCTCTCACCATTTCTGAAGGTACTAATTTCTAACGTGTTAATAAGCAACAGTGTAGCTCACATAGGTTTAGCTTAATGTGTGACCCTAGCCATTGTAGTTCATAAATCATGGTTTATGACTTAGTTCAAATCTAGCTGTGGTTTACTTTTAGGAATTATGGTTAAACAAACCCTAGATTGCTATGGCATAGGAATCCAGCTCTAAGTTAGATGGACCTACGTTTTCAAAAAATTGCTTTTCCTCATCTCAAAATTATATAAGCAACAGATATCTTGGCCTAACTTAATTATTTGATGACTACATTCTTACAATACAGGTAGTCCTCACTTAATCACCACAATTGGGACCAGCAACTCCATTGCTAAATAACACAGTTGTTAAGTGAAACATCATGTGACTGACATTACTCCCACTGCAGTCATTAAGTATATCACCTGCGGCCCTGAAACAAAACATCGCGTGACCATGACTTATGATTTTACTGCTGGCTTCTCCATTGACTGCAGGGATGCTGCAACAGTTGTAAGTGCAAGGACCAGTCATAAAGTTACTTTTTCAGTGCCATTGTAATTTAGAACGGTCACTAAACAGGGCAGTTGTTAAGTGAGGGCTGTCTGTATGCTAAACCACTGATTGCTAATTAATGGCTTACTGAATGAACTACAAGTGGTTGAATTCACTTGGTATATAAGCTGAACAACATACTGAGTTACCAGCAAGGAAACTACTTTATGTCTTAGTGAGTCAGATAAAACGCTCAGTCTATTTTCTCATAGCTCCTTCCATCCTTTTTTCTCTGATAGGAAGAAAAAAAAAAATAGATGAAAGAGCTGCACCCTTCTTTTAATTAGTAACACCAGGAACTCTGTATGGAAGCCCCCTTGGTATAAAAGGCAGCTTCATATGTCTCCTAACAATTTGTTACACTAGAAAGGAAGAATAGCTTAATTCTTCTATTCAGAACAGTGGGATTTAAAAGTGCCTCTCTGAAAGAATCACACCCACCATATTGTAAAATGGATGAATGCTTTTTTCGCTTTTTTCTCTCTTCAGGACAAGAAAGTCTTCTTTTATGATATCATTTCCTACCCAGCAAAGACTGCCCTTACCAGCGTAATGTGCGCTTCTTATGCAGCACTAATTTTTCTGGTGGGTTAATAAATGTTACTTTGATCCAGCTTTTCTCATGCTAAATAGCATCTTATTCTTAGCAAATAAACTAAGCTATTATCAGTAATTATATAACTCTTAGTGATAGACTTCATATCTCATTTACTAATGAGAAAAAATTGAGTTCACACATCACATTAAGCCATAAAATGGTTTGGTTGTAACTTAGATGTGTTAAATAAACTGTGAATAGTAAGTAAGCCTTGCTTTATGACCGATGTGTTTGGCAAATACCATCAAGTGTAGAGTATCCCACATGCCATGATACTACAAACCATGTTACAAATGACTTACCATGATGAAGGAACCCAGTCAATATACTTATAAATTTTGTGTTACAATAATGAATAATGGGTAAGAATGATAAAATAGTTATAGCAGCATGTCTTAGGAAAAGAAGATAGTCCAGCCTTCCTTCAAGGTTCTGGTTGAGACCATAAATATTAACTTCATTTTTTTTTCATTTCTCATAGGATATTATTAAATTTATGCTCTGCTCCATGTGGCTTACAAAGACAGTTTATAAAACAAGATATAAAATATGGCAGCAAAATCAATATAATTAAAATTAAAATCAAACCAATTAAAATCAACAGTTAAAACTTTGGTGAAAAACTTTTATTTAACACTAGAATTGAATTAGAATGGAATTGCTTAGAGATTATTACTACTAACATATATTAAAGTCATTAAAATGACACAGAACATTAATTTACAGTATTTGATTTGTATATCACCTTTCTATCAACAGTGACACTAAAGGTGACTAATGTCAGAACAAAATCAATGATCATGTTCACAAACAGCCTAAACTAAGTTTTGTCATCTGATCTAGAATCTCAGCCAGTTCTGGATTTTCCTGGTAGTATCTAAGTTTACTTGTTGGTCCTGCAAAGAAGTGGGAGGCTACAACAACCACAAAAATGGAGTTGTTCCATCTATCTTTTTCATTCCTCCTCTTTGCGAGAGGATAAAAGAGGGTCAGAAAAGAGATGAGGGAGGTGAAGCCATCATCATCCCCATCTATAATGTCTCCAACCTTGATCAAGCCACTGGATTTTTTAAAAATGCATTTTTTGAAGTGTGGATGAAAAAAGGAGGAAATGACAGGCAGACAGTCACCACACAGATGACAGTAATCTGCTGTGGGGTCAAAGAAGTCAAGGTGGTGGCCATGACCGCATAATCACAGCCTATCCTGTTTTCACATGCATCATGTCTTGACTTTTTGACTCCCCATCCCCGATTGTTAGGCTGCTCCTGTTATAAAGGGGAATCTTTGTTCCTTTCAGTTGTGTGGCACCTGAGCTCCAGGCAAGGTGTAGATGCCAATCTCCCCTACTTGTTTTTGTCATAGCTTTACTTTTCCAATGATTTATTATTTTGCTGTAATTAATACAGTCCAGCCAGTACAGTACAGTACTAATGCTACAGGGCAACACGCTCTCCTTAAATTGGGCAAAAATGTACAACATTGGAACCTCTAAAGTTAATTTTTAAAAAATCTCTTTTTATGTAAACAGGCAGTCTCCATTAACAAATTGCTGGCAAAAATAAAAGACATCATCCAAACAGAAGAGGCTTCTAGGGAAAGCAGCAGTGAAGATGTGGATGAAAGTGGATTTCCCAGAGCCACTGAAGCAACGTCCCCCCTTCAGCAAGAATCTTCAGTGTTTCCTATTAAAGCATCACACAATGGTGGAAGCATCCATACTCTACTTTCAGCAATGGATCAAGAAAGTGAATAATGGTTCTTTTTACGTAGAATAGGCACAGCTCTGGCTTTTCCGCCTTTATGCACACTGTTTTATTAAATACACAAATATATGAAAATAGTTCTCATTTTCCATTCAGGAAATGCCAATCTTTTTATATGCTTTGGGGGGGCGCAAAGCATTCAGAAGATACGTTTTGCAAAGGCAGAAGCTCAAATGCATCTTTTTCCACATTTGACAAGGCCAATGCAACTTTTGTAAGCTTTGGCACGGCTGCTTTAAAAGCTGCCGTATGAGGAAAAAGCCCTGATTTATGAATAAATGACATGGCACATCTCACATAAAGGTTTCAGAAAGCTTTCTCTCGAAAGAATAATATTATGAAATAAAAAGGTACATTAAAAAATTGGAAAAACATAATCACGCTATTTTAAAACATTTTATAATGTCCATTGATTGGTCAGAAAACATGACACCCCAACGTTAAAGATAAAAAGTGAAGAATGAGTAATGTTAGAACAAGAAGTTGATCATTAGAAAACCATTTGGGAAATGCTGACGTTTCCTTTGGATGACCCTTGTCATAGTTTCCTAACTCTTTTTCCTTTGCCTCTTAACTCTTCTAGTATGCATATAAATAGTATATACATTTTTCTCACAGGCTCGTTTTAAAAACAAAACAAATATACTCAAAAAATAATCCATAACTTACAATTCCAAAGAGCAGGCATTTGGTTCAGTTTGGATTCTCTCCCTTCAGAAACCTTAATTGCCAGACAGCTATCAACATACTGTGTGGAGGGCATGTTGCTCTGAAAAAGCCCCTCCTACACAACAAAGAGTGCCAAGTTGTTCCAAAGCTACTGTGTAAAGAGGTCTTTGTTACTCACAACCTTTCTAGTGCACAAATTCCGACCATTAGAAGAAAAGGGCTCTGTTTGCAGCGAGGGGAGAAAGAGAAGTCTTGTTTGCAAAAATCCCAGTCCTGATTAAGTGTTACAGATGCCATGTGACAGCTCCTTTAACCAGGCCCATGAGCTCCATTTCCTACAGGGTCTCTTCCAAAATCCACCAGATGTTTGCAGTGTTGGTGCACAGGTGATTCCTCTATCCAGCCTGGGCTGGATTTTAGCACATGTAAACAAGTGGTAGGTTAGAGAGAAAATGGGTTATGGTTCATACACCAACAAGAAAATTCCTACAAAAAAATTCCAATGTGCTCCCTGTGAACTTTTAGCATTACTAATGGAACATTTGTACAGTAAATAGTTTGTTACATCTTAGTGTATACAAATTTAGCGCTGAAGCTCAGAGTAAAGCATGTATTCTATGGAGCAAGTAAACAGCTATGCATACCTGGATAATTTTGGTAGTCATCAGAAGAGGAACCAGACCTTCTGAGGATATTACTAGATTACAACCCCACCAAAATACAAACTAGCACTAAAAATGTCTGTTTAAAATGGTATTTAGGATTAATTAGAAATACACAGCAACAAAACACATACACAGGTTTCTTGGAGAAAAGGAATAGGATTCAGGAGAGTCAGTTTTGAACAAAGGAATAGCAGAGGCTCGTCCTAGATGGGGATTAAGCTACAGAGAAAAGAGCTTTAATGGAAGCTGGCTTTTAGTCTTGGGCAACTGCAAAATAAAATCAAATACATCATATGAGTGGGATCTAAATATTCACTGCAGGTACAAGTTTGGATTAGAATATATTCTTTCCTGGGTCCTGGAAGATTTCTTCCTATCCCTTCCTCCCAGCCAGCTGAAGTTCAAAGAATGAAAAGCCTCCAAAAACCTTCTGCCTCAAGGGGCAAGGAAATGTGTTCGCTCAGGAATTTAGCTATTGGCCTGCATAGGTTTACCATGCTAGAGATAGAGGGATTACTGTAGCCTACAGGTCAACTGTGTGTACGTTCTAATCTTGAGCAGTGTTTCTCAACCTTGGCAACTTTTAAGATGGGTAGACTTCAAATCCCAGAATTCCCCAGCCATCTTAAAGTTGCCAAGGTTGAGAAACACTGCTCTAGAAGCTTGCTTTTTTAGAAGGGCCTGTTCCGCACCCTAAAAACAGTTCCTGGTTAATGCAAATGACCTGGGTTCTGGGTGAGTTGCATTAAGCAGACTTTTGTGGTGTGCCTACTAAGAGGCACTATGCTGCAAAATAATTGGTGTAGTACAATAAGTCATTATATCAAGAGCCAACGTGAACCTTGCTTACCATTGTGGGATGAATCAGATCAAGTGCAAGAAAAAGAATGAAAGTCTCTTGACAAAATAATTTATTTATTCAAGATCCCCTATAACATGGAAAAATAGTATCTCCCTTTATTTACACTGATAATGCTTTTAAAAATATTTTTCATACATAGGCAATCCCTAGGCTACACAAGGGCTCCATTCCAAGGACTGTTTTTTGGGAGATAGACATTGTAAGTTTTAAGATTCCAATGAGCCAGCATTACCAGCCTGATGCCCTCTAAGCACGTTAGGAGTATTTCTGTAACCCCAAGGAACGGCAGAAGGCAATGCATCCAGCCTGGCCAGAGTGAAGACCCAGCAAAATATCATGACACTGATAGAGAGGTAGGAGGCTGGCTCATATCTAACTGAAAAGACTCCATGTCTTGCAAGACTGGGAACCATATTTTGAATGATTTGAAGATCAGTGTCCCAGGTACACTACTCAGGAATACTTCTGCTGTTTTCAAAGGCACTTCAACAAGAGATTTAGAGAGTAAAGCTTGCCAATAACTTCTAACCAGGCTGAAGATTCAGTGGCACCAGATCCACTGAGAAACATGATAACGTTAGCCACTGGTTAAAATGATAGCACCGGGCTCTAGCATCCAGAGACCAAGCCTATTTCTAAACATAAAGCGGCATTCTTAATCCATCTTGGGACTGCAAGGATAGCTCTAATATACTTAAACTGAATGGTTTCAAGGATGTAAAGCTTTCTAAAAATACAGACTTGGCCACTGTAGAGAAGCTGGGAGGCAACCTTGACTATGAAGCCCTTGCAGGGACATAGTGTTCTTCCTCCAAATGGAAAAAGCTCAGGATAATTGAAGAGCTACGCTGAACAACACTTGCCGGATATAAAAATGTTCTCTTCGGGATACTGAGGCCTGAAAAAACACTCCAAGGTATTTATAAGGGAGTACCTGCTTGTCCCCTTAATTTGCTTATTATAAATATTATAATTTCACACAAATACTATGATTTTAGTTTTCTGATCCTTTTTTACTAGTTTTTTCTCTAAGCAGAAAGAGGCCAAAGCCCTCAGTTCCCTTCTCATTCCTACTTAAGAGATGGACATGACCATGACCTCATCTGCATGTAAAGGAGCTGGGACCATTCAGCAGGCTAATACAGGGAGGTGATGAATGGGGAAGGGACCTTGCTTATTAATATGTAAATCAAAAAGGGGCTAGAATACATCTCTGCCTCACCCCTCTCTGAGCAGTGATAGCTCTTGAGATATGTCCCCAAGAGAATGAGAAGAAGCAACTTTTCATCTATTGAGGATTCCCTTAGTTTTTCCCATATCCTCTCCCTGAGAATTAAATCAAAAGGCTCTGGGCTGGAAAGAATATTTCTCAGACCAGACGGCGGTTAAGAGTTGATTGGTCCCTCTAAACTATGCCTCTTCTTCAGCTATGATGTTTTCATTTGGAGCCCGGTCCAATAGTTTTATGTACAGTTATTTAGTATTTAGCTTGCTGACTAATGGGTCAAAAAGGACAGTCTAATCTATTTTCTTTTGTTTTCATAGGATGGGATAACAATGATGTGGCTCCAGTCAATAGGAAAACATGCTGAGCTGTTAATATGGATGAATAAGACAATCAGCCCTAGATCTCACCAATCCTTGTTCTCCCTTAATAATTCTGGGGGGATAACATCTCCTCCCAAGACTTTTCCAGGCTTTAGTTGTGAAATGAGGTCCTTGATCTCAGTGTGGACATGGGAGGCAGCCAGGAAGAACTTCTGAAAAGGAAGTCCCAGCTGGATTGTCTAATGATTTTGTTTTGAAAATATTCTGGACATAATTCTCCCAAGATTCTGCAGATATTCTGCAGATATTGGACCAAAACTTCTATCACTGAGGGAGCTGTTATAAAGCTAATGCATCACCAAGAAACAAGAGTGCTTTTTAGATAGCAAGACCATCATTTACATTCAACAGCATCTTAACACAAGTGGCTATGAAGCACCAATGTTATTTTTCTGCAATTTTTTCTGTTTTGTATTTTTCAGCATAGTAGTCAGAATCTTTACTGTCCGTTAAATCTGAAAGAGTCACATAAACATTTCCATTGTCCACAGTGACTCTGTGAGTCCTTTGTTTTGCTCCTTTTGATTTCCACTTGGGTACTGCAGACGGTTCTTTGGGGTTTATCGCTTGATACAATCCTTCACCTGTATTCAGAGTTATTTTGTAGTGATGCCAAGGACAAATAACACATGGTTGTCCATTGATGTCCTATAGACACAAGGGAAGAACAAAGATGTTTTTCACTAGCTTATAAGCATTCGAAATAGACATACAGACTAAATATTCTCTCTGATCATTCAGGTAATTGTATTTGTAATGTCCCTGCACTTTTATGCTTTCTTTTATATGAAGATGTTGGTTATCATATTAACCATCATATTAAGTTGTATTGTGTTACCTACCTCTATTTCACCAAGATGTAATGGACCTCCTGCATCTATTAAAAGATAAAAATATATTAGATCAGAGCTATTAATTATTGTGGCTGTACTTTAGCTCCAAGTACAAATGGTTGGGGAACATAAATAGAAGTGGGATACTGCATGCATTCCCTGCTTATGAGCTTCCCAATGGCATCTAGTTGTCCAAGTAGTGTACTGAACTAAAGAACATGTACAGGGGACTTGCTGTTTTCACTGAGTCTAGCTACCTTGATAGTTCTACAAGCCTCAAGACACATTCTTTTCAAGTTCTTACGGTAACAGCGGCAATCCAGAGCATAAAACTTTCCACCATGGTAGAAAATAACAACTTTTCTCTCATGGACAGCAACTCTTGTTCTCTGGAGCTTTTTAATATCATCTTCTCTACCAACATAAATTGGATTGGATACTTCCTTCCTTTGAGATGGTTTGACCATGCTGCTGTCATTAATATCCTGCAAAAAAGGGAAAATGGACTATATTAAAAATTAACATGAAAATTAAATAATTGACATAAGGGTAAAATCCAACAATGCACAGTAAGAAATCTGCTCTCCTATTCCTCATAGGTTCTTTCAATGCTTGCTGAAATTTTTTTCTAGAGGGTCTCCTAACACACTGCAGCAGATTTTGAGAGGACATTGTGGGCTGCAGGGAAGCAATGGGGAAGAACTTTCCTATCTACTGAGTTGCTCCTTCACAAAATAAATTGGATTGGATGCCATTATCAGTGAACTCACTTTAAAGCAGGCTTGTAAACATGTGATCCATCAGCCCTTTTAGGTGGAATATCACAATGGTGACACAAGTTTCCTGCTCATGTGAAATCTGCAAAAACTGAAAGAATCAAGTCTTTGGCAGTCAGCAACACTGGTAAACTGCATTTAGCTGAAAAGCAGGGGTGGTCACAAATTCTGCAGATAAGATTTATAGGACCATAAATCTATCACAAAACATAACAGAAGGAAAATAAACTAAGCATGTTTTTGTCCAAGAGTGGTGTTGGTGGTAAGGAAATAAAAATTTTTAAGGTATCTCATTCTGATCCATATGGTAAGTCCCTGAATGAAACTGACATTGAGCAAGTTCAGTGCTAACATGGTGTCATCTGAAGAAGAATTCTCAAAGGAGGAAGATATGTTGAGTGTGCCCTCTGTACCAGATGAGCAAGGCTAGCACAAAATCCACCCAGAATCAATCCCCACTAGTCCAAGATCTTCTGCCAGAAACTTCAACCTAGACTCACCAGCACATCCACCCAGCTTCTATGAAAGAGTGCTGCTAGGATACAGAGGCAAAGAGAGGCCAAAGTGCTCACTTACAAGGAAGAATGCTGGAGCAAGTAAGGCTAATTTTCATATAGCTCAATGTATCCAGATGGCTTTGGAACCAGACCAAATATAATGAGCATCAACTGAGTAAGAACAGGGTATTTACAGCCTACAATATAAAGTTCTCCACCTGAGAGTAATTCATTGCCCTAAGACTGTATTATCTACCATTTGTAGTGTATGCAATTGGCTATCAGTATGTCTTAAGCCTTGTTAGAAGATATGCTCCTGATCACAAGCAGAATGCTGAAAGGATACTGAGTAATTACAAAACAGAAGGCCCCATTAAAAATAAACTGTTGATAACATATTTTTAATTTTTTTTTAAATTCATAGCTCAGATGTCAATATATGCTAATCAACATTTGTTACATTTGAAACAAAAAATAGGTTTATTAAGAAATATATCAAGATAAAGCCTCACTTCTGTCTAAACTACATCTTCAAGAGAGGGAATTAGACATAAGAGAGTAGGGTGGAGTTCCCTTTGTCTTTTAATACAGAAACTCATTTAATTAGACAGATCAGGTCTGTTTTCAGATGGTAATTGAGTTACTGGCAAAAAGCAAGCCTACTGGGCTGTCTGGCCTGTTTTTTGCCAGCAAGCAAAGGACAAGAGGCACTTTTGTAGCATCTGAACATGTGTAGTGACATCACTACTCAAGTCCCATCCTGCAGCAATGTCACCAACCAAATGTATAAAGGAAGGCCATAACTTTTTCTGCAGATACTCCTAGGAGTTGTATTCCAAGTTAGAAAAGAAAATTTGCAGGAGGCTGATGTAGCTCCTCTATATAAGTCAATCTACATTAAATCATTACTGCTAATGGGATTGTGTAACACAAGAGCACAACAAAGCCAAACTGCATTATGGCTAAACGGATGCGTAAACTCTGTTCTTCAGGAAACTTATCCTGCAAAAAATCACTTCAAATTTGACAAGGACTGCTATATTTTCCAAACTAAAATTATAATTGTATAAATTGGATGCAGTAGAGATATCCATGGACAAACACACAAAAAGTCTTACATGTTATTAGCAAACAGGAGAAGGGGAAAGCAGTGCCTTATCTGGCAAAAAAGAAACTGAAAAGAAGCAGGTGTTAGCTGTGAGAGTGAGGGTTTTTATTAGAAAGAACACACTAAGGACTTTAAGCAGTTTATATACTTTGTTATACTAAATAAACTATGTTATTGTTGTTTTATTAAGAATGCCATTTATAAAGAATGAACACTATTCAATAAAGCATTGTTTATAAGCAGACTTAATCCAAGTGAGATGAACAGAGCTTACACAATATGAGAACAATTGAAATAGCATTTTCTTAATGCTATCTTCAGCAAATAAAATACAATCTCACACATCAATCACTCACCCACAGTGGAGTGGAACCTGATTATTCATATTAGTCGGTAAGCAGACCAATAAATCTCACTATAGACAATTTAGAGGATTTCAGCTACAAGAGCAGCAATCAGCACTTGCCAATGTCTATAGAAAATCCTATTTGCTATTTAGCTTGCATTTCCCAATCCTCATTCTTCCTGTGAGACAGCCTTGCTATTGCCATGCAGCCTCTTAGCAAAAGAAACAAGCTGAGATGGTCTGTGATGTTCTATGAAAGAACTGGCTGAAAGTAAAGATACTGGCACAGCATTAACAGTGGTACCAGGCTCAGAATACAAAAATGTGAAGTGGGGGAGGGAAAAAACCTTCAATGGCTGGCCTCTTCTCTGTTAGGACCTACAGGCTCTTTTATGATGCAGTGTTGTTCCAAACTAGATCTCACCATGCTGGTAGTTTTGTACTCTCTCCATCAAATAGACAATGGGCACAGCTCATCTCGGTATACTTATTTATATCCGTATTTTTAATTAGTCTGCTACCTATTACTTTTTTTTAAAATCCACCCTGATTTAAAACAGAAAATGTAAATCCCAAATGTTATTGTCTTTATACACACACACACACACACACACACACACAAACCCAAATAAATAAATCCTTACACATATTCTCTTGATATACATCTATCCTGACTGATAGTATCCCCTGCCTTAGATAATGGAAGCACTTGCAAATATGATGTTGAGACCCCAGAATTTGTATTCTTGGATAATTTAACATTCACATTAAGGCAGCTTCCTAATGTAGTCTCTTATTAAAGTTTGCATTATGGATGTTAGGTAACTTTCATATGGAGTCTTTGGCACCAGGAGGCTTTCCCAAATTATATAGATTGGCATAATCACCCTCCAGTTATCTAACTTTTTATACTTGGGCAAAGTATTGGAAAGTATGGTAGTTTCTCAATTCTAAGCAGTATTCTGCATCTTCTAATTTTTGATTATTTAGATCCAATCCAGTTTTTGACCTCATTTTTAGGTAGAAATAGCCTTGGTTTCCTTGCTGGATGAGTTACACTAGGAGATAGGTAGGAAAGTGCAAATTTGGCACTGCAGCTTTCATTCTGATATCAGTATCAGAGGTGTTACACACACATATAGTGCCTTTGACTCAGTCTTGACTCCTGGCATTGCCTGGACTAGTCTCTGCAGTTTTCTTGCAACATCTTTGGAAATGCTTTGCCATTGCCTTCTTCCTAGGGCTGAGAGAGAATGACTGGCCCAAGGTCACCCAACCCAGCTGGCTTTAGTGCTTAAGGCAGAATTAGACCTCACAGTCTCCCACATTCTAATCCAGCACCTTTAACCACTACATCAAACTGGATCTCTGCTACTCATATGCCGCCTGTAAAAGTGATATGACTGGCAAGCAAGAGAGACAGAGATTTTCAGCGATGATTCTCCATTGGTGGAACTGCTTCAGTTGATCTCCCTCAGACCTGGATTCTAAGTACTCATCTTGACCTATAACTGACTTATAATTCTCTTGTTGTTAGGGGGTTAACAGTTACTTTTTGATTTTATCATTGCTTTATTATTTATGTTCCATGGTACACTGTCCTGGAAGAGTTTATCTGAAAAGGTAACTTATAAATGTGTCGCATACAAAATAAACAAACAGCAAACTAAGCCTGTGGGTGCTACTACTAATTCAAAATAAAGTCTCCTTTGAATGTGACTCCTGGGTACCTCATTAATACATCCATGGAGTTTTCTCGGCAGCAGTTCTGAAGTGGCTTGCCATTCCCTTCTCTGGAGATTGTTTCCAACTTCCCAATCCGCAACTCCCTACAGGAATCCCATCTATATTAAACATGCTTGATTTCTACTGTCAGCTGCTGAGACTTATTATCATTATTAGGTGCCTTCGAGTCAGTGTTGACGCCTGGTGACTGCCTGGATGAGTCCAACAGTTTTCTTGGCAAGGTTTCAGAAGCAGCTTGCCATTGCATCCTTCCTAGGGCTAAGAGAGAGTGACTGGCCCAAGGTCATCTAGCTGGCCTTGTGCCTAAGGTAGGACTAGAACTGACCACCTACCAGCTTCTAGCCTGGTACCTTAACCACAACACCAAACTGGCTCTCAAGATTTGTTATATAAGGTTTAAATTATGACTGGGTTGAACTGCAGTGTGCAGTTGGGAGGAACACCATTTCTTCAGACATGTAATAAGCTCTATTCCTTATTCCCTAAATCCCTAAATTCTCTAAATCAAGGTTGTTGCGTACATACAGGTTTTGTAGGGTAGCTGTAATTGGATTTCAGCTCAAACTATGGGAGTAGACAAAGATCTGGAGAATAATAGTTTAGGGAAGGATGACAGTGAGGTGTCCCACAGAGATATTACTTAAAAGTCCTGCGGTGGAGCCAAACACAGCAGAATTTTTTCTGTATCGCCCTACTGCGGCCTGCCTCACCACTCGCTCATTTTCTTCCTCCGTCACACAATTTTCGCCACCCGCAAGGCGGCGATCGATGCCGACGCTCTTGCCCCATCAAGCCTGAGCTCATCCGCGGTTGCAAGACCACAACATCCAGCAGCCTTCGCGCTCCCGAAGACCACAACTCCCTACAGGCACTGCGTTCAGCCCTGTCCTATTCCCTCTTCCCCTTCACGTGTCTTTTGTATGGGTATAGGAATAGCTACGAAAAGAGAGAGAGAGAGGACTTTTTCTTAAAGGAAGACCAACCTGCTCCATTTCGCCCGCCGAAGGGGATACCGTTCACGTCAGGCACCGACTGCGACTCCAGCGCTGCAAACAAGATAATTTCCCTCAGTTGTTTTTTCTCCCTTGCTGTTGCGTCACATCTGAATGGTTACTGGCGCTGTAAGCGTCACGTGATAAAAACTGGACTGCTGATTAGCGTTTCTTTATGCCCTGTTGCTTTGGAGGAAATTTACGCGGGTCTTTTTTGTTTGGAAATCCCTAATGTTTGTTTCTGCCTAGCCTCATTTATTAAAGAAACAAAACCAGAAGCAGAATGGTAACTCTGGGTTTTTGGAAAATGCCACAAAGGTTTGGAGTTGTCCAGATCGGAAGGAATAAGGGAGAGAAATGGTTAGGAAAAACCTGGATCGCAGAAGGAACCTTAAAGCTGCAGGTTCATCACATTTGTAATTGGAAGAACAGAAGTTTGGTGGGCAGATCAACCTCATTAGACGCCAAAGAGGTTGAAGGATGCCCTAGAAGAGTGTATCTCAATTTTGGCAACTTTAAGATGCGTGGACTTCGACTCCCAGAATTACCCAGCCAGCATGCTGCCTGGAGAATTCTGGGAGTTGAAGCCCACGCATCCTAAAGTTGCCAAAGTTGAGATACACTGCCCTAGAATATGCAGGCTCTGGAAGGCAGAAAACAAATGGAAAAATACTTGATCTTTATACTGGCCAAAGCTTGTCATGTGTTAGTGCACTGGGAAGGGCAGATGAAATGAAATATATTCTTCTCTTATCTCCCCCCACTCTTTTAGAACTACCCGCATTTTTGAAGAATATGAAACAATTTATTACAGCATTTGACTTTTTCTTCCTATCCTGAATCTTGTGTTCTTTTTCAATAATATCAAAACTGGCAGTGTTTGTGGTACATGAGGCCATGTGTTCTGTCATGGCTGAGACTGGAGTATAAACACACATTTGTCAAACTACCCCAGTCTCTTTATGTAATGATATTTCTATAATTATACATTATTTAACTAATTGGTAAAATAGAAACAACGGTTAGCATAATGCAGCAGACTTGGTTATTCTATGCAATAAGCTGAACATTTGTGCATTTAAGCTGATATGTGGAAAAGTATCAAAAATAATGTATATTTCTTTAGGGAGCGATAAGAGCTGATTATACAAAAAGGGCTCTCCTTTCTAATTCAGTGGAAAATGCAGAGAGGCTTCATTTTCTACCAAGCATTCTTGTCAGCAGTACAAATGGAGCAACACAAGTGGAGCTTAGTATAATAGTGCATCAGATTTATACACCAACATACCCACTACACTATTCTGTTTTGGGTATGTAGTACTATGCAACGTGCAAAAAAAAAGTTTTAAAAAATTAAGACACAAGAAGAAAAAGAAATACAGCCCAAGCTAGTTTACATCTACATATTCAATATACCGTACCTCTCCATACATTTCTATCCTTACAAACTGTCTTCATATCCATATACCACTTCATGGATTGCTTTTATTCTTTAAACTTATCACTCTCTTATTGATGATCTCATCCAACTCCATCCTATTACAACTTTCGGTCTTTCTCCCTTTTTCCCACCTATTCACTTTTTGTATGCGTTTTGCAATTCATTCTTCAATAATTCTTTCTGTATGCTCAAACTGCCTCTAAGTACTTCTTTTGAATCAGTCACTCACTTTTGCATTCGGTCACATTCATTAATCACTCATTTGTTCTTGGCCCTATTTCTTCTGGTTTTGCCACACATAGTTAAGTATCCTATTCCATTCAATTTATTTCTCTGTTTCTGTTGACATACTTAACTCTCACATCCATATAGCAAAGTGGACCGATGGTTTAACAGAAAATAGTACTTCATTCATTCCTTGCAACAGCTATATAATGCTACTTTTCTACCAGCATTTGCACATCTTAATCAATTTCCCCATTCTTTAATTCTATCAAAGTACACAACTTGCTCTAGTTTTTATCACTGATATGTAACCTGCAATTTATCCCTCGATTTTATCCTGTCAAACACAGCTACTTTGATCTTTAATGTTTCAGTTTTCGGCTTCATTCTTGTTTTTGCATCATACAATCTATTTAATGAATCATTTGGATTGTTAGCCAACAATAATCACATTCATGCCCCCACAAACTCACCTCTGAAGTCACTAAGTTTTTGTTATGCATTATATCCATAAGTATATTAAATAAAGGGACATTACATATCCATTCAGTGTTGAACCATTATTTGCTAAGCATCCCATTTATTCCTCACATATGCTTTCTTCCATCATATATTGCTCTTACCACATTCAGCAGCCAACCTTCTACTCCATATTTTGCAAAACACTCAAGCCTATTCATTTTATCTTATACTTCTTTTAAATCAACAAATGTTCAATAAGTTGAAATTCTGTATTTTTTATTGTAGTGGAAGGGGCCAAACATAGTATTAATAGGCAACCAAAAGGTGAAGTGTAAGCCTGGGAAATTGTTGGGAAATGAACGGAGATTTTTAAATTTGCTGCTAGTAACTTAAAAGGTTTCAAACTTCTTTACCTGCTATATTCACTGCTTTCTTATTTTGGATAAGTAAACAATTGGACATAAATCTTAAGTTGCATTCAAATTTACAGGAAGAAAAAATTAATTTTGTACCATGCAGATGTTGTATCAGCTTCTGATTACCTGGGGATTAATTGAAACATACAATTTGACAATGCTTTCCTAAACTTTGGCATGCAGGTATAAGTTGCTTATTGTGCTTTTCTATTTTTATTTATTGTGAATTCACCTTTATTATTTTTTATTATATTAAACCTTCTCAAGGCTTTTAAGTGTTTCTTCTTCTGTCATTCCTTAACTATCAAACAGATGTGTTATATTGGTATATACAAGTTGAAAAATAAATAAGGAACAACACTACTAACAATCCTTGTTACAAACTATCCATGGTTTCTTTTATTCTATTCTCCCTGCTCCTTTCTAAAAATTGTGCCTTGTACAGTTCTTATCTTCAAAATTCCAATGTTTCTAATTAATGGGGAGGGATGGGGGGAGAGGAATCACTCCAGTATGTTATGGCAGACCTATTAAGTGCATATTCTGTTTATTTGGGTTATAGGTAGGCAGCCTGCATTTCCTTTCAAAGTCTAATATTTGATGGTATGCCTTGAGATTCTGACATCACCTTGCCAACAAAGATCCGCATAGTCAAAGCTATGGTTTTTCCAGTAGTAATGT